GATGGAAGAGGGAGGTTCTCTCCCTTTGTTTTCGGATAATGTGCAAGAACTTTGCCTTTCTGTTTGGTTCAGGTTTTCTCATGGATTCTTGGTGCACCTTCAACCTTCCTCTGTACATGATGGAGAGATTTGCGCTCCTCTCGTTTATGTATCCCCTCCATTCTTGTGGTTATACGTGTCTTTACTATTTATGGCTAAGAGGCATCCTTGCCTTAGGGAGCCAGTGACAGAGGGGGGGTGTAGGAGATATGGTTGTGACAGTGATGGAAGAGGGAGGTTCTCTCCCTTTGTTTTCGGTTAATGTGCAAGAACTTTGCCTTTCTGTTTGGTTCAGGTTTTCTCATGGATTCTTGGTGCACCTTCAACCTTCCTCTGTACATGATGGAGATATTCACGCTCCTCTCGTTTATGTATCCCCTCCATTCTTGTGGTTATGTGTATTTACTATTTATGGCTAAGAGGCATCCTTGCCTTAGGGAGCCAGTGACAGGAAGCACGAAGGGAGGATAGACAAGTCTATTCGTTGATGGTGCTCTTGGCCCAATACTTGGCACTGGCTCGTGCTTCTTAACATCCAGAGCTGTGGAGTTCTGGTGTTATGGTTGAAGCTGGCGTGCAAATTGATGATTCTAATCACATGGATGACTTGTTCGCAATAATTGCATGCCGGCATGGACCATGAGTCTTCTTACAACATTTACATGTGTGTTGGCTTTCCTGTGACGTCCTCTCCTGTGAGGATACAGGCAGGAACGCTGTCATGGGATTGCCTGTTGTGGCCATGTGCCTGTTGTGGCCATGTGCCCATCTTTCTTCCCCACTAACATCCTTTGTGTCTTCTCATAGCACCCACAATCGGCTGCTGCTAATGGGATGGTGCACCACCTCGTGTATGCTTAGATGTGATACCCTGCCATCCTGCATCGTTGCCCGTAACCGTTTGTCGTGTCAAGTTTGCATCCCTTGTCCCTGCCTGCAGTCGACGTGGCATTTGTAAGGCCTGGTTTCTAAGATGCGGTTGGTGCTGGCTGTGCCAGAGATTGCTCCCTTCTTCTGTCCTCTACGTTGGACGCCTTTGTGGGCCCTGCGTCCACTGCTGCACAACCATGGGAAACCTCTTATCCCACGGAGAAAGGAAGAAGAGAGACAAGGAAAGAAAAATATGAAGGAAAAGTAAACAAGGAGAGTGTTGTCGTTGCTTCCGTTTGCGAAATCTTTCCCTGACTGCTTTTATCGTGGTCCTCCCCCATGCCCCCCCTTTTTCCTTGATCCGAGTCCGTTTTGCATGTTTTCTCTCTGCATTTGTCGCTCTCCGCCTGTCTTCATCGGTTTCTTCAACTTTCTTGTATGTTATATTGTCCAGTTTCCTATCCGTCCCCGTGGTTGCTGTATGAGAATATAATACATACACACATATCTATTTTTCCTTTCCAGTAGTTTTTTAATGAACATGATAGCGCACACATGCACAAGGAACGGGTGTGTGGAGTGGGTTTTTAAGCTGCAATAGACCAGTTCAGCAGACTGTCTGCAAGGATTGCACGGTCGGTGTGAGTTAGGTCGACCAAGCTTGGGTGTCGGAATGCATCAGTCAATTACATCCTAGGCACGCGGGTCAATCTCTAGGTGAGGGGGTGAAAGTCCCACCAGTGGGTGTGTAACAATGATGCTTTTTGGGGGGGTACTGTAATTAGCAGACATGACAACATCTACACAGACGAGGACACACACACACACACCGAGCAAGCGAGAGAGAGAGAGAGAGAGAGAGAGAGAGAGAGAGAGAGAGAGAGAGAGAGAGAGGGCCTGTAACAATGAAACTTTTTTGGGGGGTTTGGGGGGTACTGTACTTAGCAGACATGACAACATCTACACAGACGAGGACACACACACACACACACAGAGCGTGCGCGCGCGCGCGAGAGAGAGAGAGAGAGAGGTCCAAGTGAATGTGATGAGGTGTAGCAAGCTGTGAAGGATAGTTGCACAGGATGGATGCTAGTAATGTATTGGTATAAATGAGGATTGCCCACAGGTGGAAGAGCGTGCACATGAGGGAAAACTAGGTGGACGAGAGTTGCACATGAGGGAAACCAACAATCTGAGCTGATTATGTAGTCATGCCACTATGACAAAGGTGTCTGTATTATGGTTATTTTGATTTCTTCTACTTGGTTGTTTTATCTTATTGACATCACGTGACACGTTCTTTGTGATTACAGCTGGCCGTGCTTGCAACCTACGTGGATGATGAGGTGATGGCTGTGTACCGGTATTTCCGGAGTTTGGCTGTGGACATCCCATTTCTCACTGCTCGGGAGAATCTTACACTGTTGTTCGAGAAGGTATGGACATTCATCGTTCCCTTCCGCAGTTTTTCGTTTTCATTGAATATAGTTGTGCTCTTAACCTCCGTGGTTTTCAGAAGAAGGTGATCTGTAAGTTCCCCCCTGGGGCCTCCCATCGCCTTTTCTCCCACCTTGTTTGCTTTCTCATACTTGTTCTGTCATACCTATGCTGTGGATATTTTGAATCCCATCGACTGCTATTGGGCTTTCTGTTTTCGGTATTTTCCAGTACTTAAACATTTTGTTTTACTGGTCTAGATCGACGTCGTTTCTCTTAGTAAATGCTGACATCAAGGCCCTGTTATGTTCGGTTCCCATTTCTGTGACGTTGGTGTGTATGAACCGGCTGTAGATCTACCAAATGTGAGATAAACTAGCAGCTGGTGATGCAGTGTTAGGACAGGAAAGGGTAGAAAGTGACTGGATGGTGTGGGAGGGTGGTTTGGTGCCTGTCTGTCTCCGAACGAGAAAACAGAGGATCGATTATTGCAGTTTGGCACCATTATAGGCTCTTATATCTAGAAGATCCCTCTGAAAAGAAAGTCACTTGGACCTCACATATCACATCTTCAGAGCAATGCCATCTCCCTTCTAGCCATCCTTTGTTGTTCGGCTAGGTGTGCGTGGGTGCTTACGCAGTATTCACCAGGGCCCGCACTAATACACGTGCACTGGGAGACAAGTGCCAGCAGTGCGGATCTTTAGACAAAGAAGGCCTTCAAGTACCAACGCTCCACAAAACCACTTTGCCATTCTGTGTTATTTATGGCCACGTCATCTCTCCCTCGTCCGTTGAATTATGAAGGCATGCTGCTACCGTTTGCGCACAAGGCGTGAAAGCCAGCGGTAATGGTTTTTCTTCTCGGGAGAATTACCGACAGGCGCCTGCCAGAATGTGCAAATACCAGCATGCTCCTATCAGAGTGTTGCTGGATGTTGGGAAGTCCAGGCACATCAAAATGAACCTGAGTTTCTGCACATCCGTCTGCATTCTGAAAGGAGCATGCCGGCCTAGCAACAGCTAAGTTGTGTTCATCTCGGTGCGGAAGTCTGCAACGTCCCACTTGACTACGCCAAAGTCGGCAATTCATTTCGGTGACTTGCACGGTTGCAGTCACTAAACTAACAAGAATCTGGACTGCGATTCATGCTTCGTCTTACTGAGATTGGATTGACTTTGTGTGCCATTATGTGAAGTTCGATTTTGCCCTCCTTCTTTTGCTGAGGAATCTGATCTACGCTGCATTTTGCGCTTCATTGGCATGTATGTTCAAGACAACCCAAACCGCTGTGAAGGCATTCGTGCTAGATTTCCCATCAGGTGGTACAAGAATTCATAACCTGTCTGCAGGGGAAGCAACGGCAAGTACAGCCAGAATAAGCACACACTGATTTCGAGGGAGGTGACACTTGATGGCAACCAGGTGTCATCAAGTGCCCTCCTCTTGCCGCTTGTCGCATTTCACTCTGACATAACTCTCTTGAAGTGTTTATGGACAAGTGCGTGGTCCAGAGTTGTACAGCCGATTTGTCAAATAGCGATGATACATAACCCTTGGTTAAGGACAGATGAATGAGACTGTAAGGGACTCATATTGGAGCCTGATGATAAAGAGAGTGGAAGGAAGAAGAAGAAGGGTTAGAGGAGGAAACACGAGTCGTGCCTATGTGAAGGCAACCAAAGGTGCTGGATACCACAATCGGATTAAAGCTTTGAACTGAGCACACCTTCCAGACCTCTCCATGAATTGCATGCATGGCATGCATGGCTAAAGAGGTCTGCTTTCACCCTCGTTTTACTCTAACGCGCTGCTGGTACAGAGAAGGCAGGGCAAGAAGCACACCTTCCAGACCTCTCTAGGAATTGCATGGCATGGCGAAGCTTTCAGCTTCGTTCTACTCGTCGGCGCTGCTCCTACAGAGGCACGGCAAAAGGAACAGTGTAGTGCAACATCGGGAAACGAACAGTCGGATTAAAGCCTTGAACTGAGCACACCTTCCAGACCTCCCCATGGATTGCATTCATGGCTATCTGTTTACTCTATTGCCCTGCTGCTACAGAGAAGGCGGGGAAAAAAGCACACCTTCCAGACCTCTCTAGGGATTGCATGCATGACTAGAGAGGTCTGCTTTCAGCCGTGTTCTACTCTGTGCTGCCGCTACAGAGGCATGGGAAAAGGAACAGTGTGTATTGCAACATCAGGAAGGAACAGACATGACGATCTTCGGGAAGTGTGTTGCAAACGTCGGGAAAGGGCGACATGCAGTGCAAACACGGGGAAAGGAAAGATCAGATACTAGACATYGGTGCATGAGGAGATTGTGAATTTGTGATGATCAGGCAGTCAGACCCAGCTTAGAATTTCTCTCAGCCTCGGGTTAGAAGTCCAGTCTTGAATGAGCTGTATCTCGTAAGGCTCACTGGGAGCTACTGTCTTCACCCGAATATAACGCCTGGTCATTATATGGGGCATTTTTCAGATCAGATGCAGTGATAATGACTGGACGTTGTATTCGGGTGAAGGTGGCGGTATGTCTGTGAACTATTGCGGATGACAAGTGGACGAAATGGCATGGGCTTGCTTTCTTGGCGGTTTGGCGTCATGACTCCCGCTTTTAAGGTTTCACCCCATGTAATTCTGTGCCCCTACCTTGCCCTTGGACGGTGCCAAGGGTGCTCGATGCTTTCTTGGCGGTTTGGCGTCATGACTCCCGCTTTTAAGGCTTCACACCCATATAATTCTGTGCCCCTTGCTTGCCCTTCGATGGTGCCAAGGGTGCTCAATGCTCATTCTTGTTGGTCGAAGTAGGGATAATAGGATTGAACGATGCCGTTTACAATGATGGAAGTCATTGAGTGAAAAGAGCATGTGAAATGAAGGATGGTGCAAATGTGTTGCAACAATGGGGTTTTTGACGGCAGACTTTGCTTGTTCATCTGTGTGCGTCATCTGCAGAACCGAGAGGCTTATGCTCATTTGCCAAAATATGATCCGACGCATAGCACTACTGCAAATGGAATGACGAGGGATACCTCAGGCTATAAAGGCTTGGAGAAAAAGGACGGCGGCAAGGTGGCAGATCGGTTTCTTTCAACGGGGGATGGCAGCTTCAAGTTAGCTGTGAAGAGCAGGAGTGAAAAACTAGCAAGACAAGAATCATCGGCGGACCTCAGAGAAGCTGCGAGAAATTTCCGGGTGTGCTTTGTGCGTCTCCAGGGGATCCTGTTCTCCAAGATCAGGTGCGGAACCCTTAGTAAACACTGAGGCCCCAGCTGGTGCTCTCAGATTTGAAGCCTTACATTTCATCGTTTGCCTGATTTATTTCCCCTAAGTCCTTTCCTGTGTGCATGACGTGTTTGTGACAGTCCCATCTGAGGTTCCTGATATCACCAGAGGTCTGCTACTGTTTTATCTATGTTCATAACGAACAGTACGATAGAATGGGAAATGTTTGGCATGAAGAGAATCTGAGGA